ACCATAATAGCTATAACAACAACTGATTTAGCTGAGCCTTTACAGAGGTATAATCAAAGTACTCCATAAATACAATGCGGAAGATGGGAGGAGGAAGCTAAGAAGAAAATTAAAGTGTTACGAGACTCTTGTACTTAAAAGGGATAGAAATACTAATTTTAGGTGCTTTCAGAAAAATGCAAAATTAAGTATATTTGTCAATTTGTAAGGGAAATCACTGCTTAAGACATGTAAGCTTCCAAATCAATGAAGAGAAAAAGAAAAATAACTATATTTGATCAGTTCAACAGAAGACAGAAAAAGTCATAGGAGAGCAAAGCAAAGAAAAAAGTACGTTAAGTAAAATATATAAAGCAAGATCATAGAAATAGGTCCAAATAAATTAGTCATCGAAATATATAACTGGATTAAATATGTCTACTAAACCCTAGCCACATATTGCTTAAAAGCAACATATCTATCTCCCCTTTTTCTTTTCTGAGGGGGAAGGGGCTGGTACTGGGGATTGAATCCAGGAGCTCTCACATGCTAGATGGCAGGCACTCCGCCACTGAGCTACATTCCCTGCCATAAGCAATCCATCTAAAACACAAGAGTGTAGGAGGGTAAGGTATGAAATGAAGCCTATTTCCTGATAAAAGAGCCAATCCACTAAGAAGACACAACAGTCATAAGCTTAAATGCTTATACACAGTACACTCTCAAACTGAAGTAAAAATAAAGTTATTGGGGGAAATGACAGATCCAAAATTACAGTGAGACATTTTTAACACACTTCCCTCAGAACTGGTAGATTAAACATACAAAGAAAATAAAAGATAAATATCTGAAAAATATAAATTCTAAGTCTGACCATATGTAGGATATACTATATATATACAGTATGTATGTATGTATATATATATGTATAGTATGTATGTATGTATAGTATGTATGTCTGTATACGTATATGTGATATATATGATGGAAAAAAGCCTCAAATAATCTAAGGAATAAATCAGAATGCATACAGTGCCTACATGTAACAAATTCAGATATCAATAATTAAAAGGCAGCCCCCCCCACAAAAAACTGTATTTGGCAATTTTTAAAAAACATACCACATTTCCTATAAACAAGTTATAAAGGAAATCAGACTATTTAGAACTGAACAATTAAAAATACAAAATCTCAAAACTTATGTGATGCAGCTATCATGCTATAGTCAGAAGGGAATTTATAGCACGTTAGAAAAATAAGGAATATTAGCTGGGTGTATGGCACATGCCTGTAGTCACAGCTACTTGGGAGCCAGAGGTAGGAGGATTGCAAGTTCAAGGCTAGACCCTTTCTCAAAAAAATTTTTTTAAAGGGGTGTGGTGGTGGGATGTAGATCTGTGTGAAGGCCCTGGATTCTATAGGAAGGAAGGAAGGGAGGGAGGAAGGAAATGTTGAAAGTTAACGTTTAATTCAAGAGGCTGTTAACTACTCAAAATCTAGCAATGTATATAAAAATAATACAGCAAAACTGTGATTAAAAACTGCTAAAGTCCATACATGCATTTGTCTCTAGCTATAAGAACCCTGATTTTTATCTGTGTATTCTGTATCCACAAGACTACAGACTTCACAGCCTTCTTTGCAGCTAGGTGCCATCACATGATGTGGTTATAGCCACTGTGATGTATGTGAAAATATTTGTGTAACCTTCAGTAAGTCTTTCAGAAAGGAAGAATTACATCCCTTCTCCTCCCTTCTTCCTTCTCACTGCTCAGAAAGCAGACATTACAGGCAGAACTTGAGCTCAGTTCCACAGATAGGATATAAAGTGATACACAAAAACTGGGAGAGCAGCAAAAGAAAAGGAGCCTGGGGTGCTATCCTACATCCAGGTTGGCCATATATTTACATATTTAGTGAAAGAGAAATACACTGTGTAAGACACTATTGTGGCCTGTTACAGTCAAATGTAAGCCAATCTGATAGTAGAATCAAGCAGTTGATCCCAGGAATGAAAGAATGTTCCAACATAGAAATTTTATTCATACAATGCACTGCATTCTACATGGAAGGAGAAAATCTAGGAGCATCTTGGTAAACTCTGAGAAAGCATTCAATAAAATTTTACCTACATTTTCTATTTAAAAATATGAAAATGGGCTGGGGATGTAGCTCTTTGGTAGAGTACTTGCCTAGCACGTGCAAGGTTCTGGGTTCAATACTTAGCAACACAAAAAATAAAATAAATAAACAAAAAGTCAACTAGGAATAGAAGGGAACTCCTTAATGTGATACAATTTGAAGCAAATATCATCTTGAGAAGCATATCTTCTAGAATCAGGAAAGAAATACGCATGCTACAACTCAACAACAAACTGGAAGTACTATTCAAAGTCTTATTATAAGATAAATACAGGGGCCGGGGATTTAGCCCAGTGGTTCCAGTGCCTGCCTTGCAATAGCAAGGACCCAAGTTCAATCCCCAGTACCAAAAATAAATAAATAAATAAATAAATAAATAAATAAATACATTTAAGAATAGAGGTTTAAAAGAAATATCCTAGCCAGGCTTGGATAAGTGGGATATGCCTTTAAGCCCAGCTATTTGGGAGGCTAAGGCAGGAGAATCACAAGCTCAAGGCCAACCCGGGAATTTAGTGAGACCCTGTCTCAAAAAAAAAGATAAAAAGGGCTGGGGAATGTAGCTCAGCACTCTCCAAGTTCAATCTCTAGTACCAGGTAAAAAAAAAAAAAGAAAAGGAAATACTCTCATTTGCAGAAAAGTAACTGACTATATAGAAAACCACCATGATTTTCAGATAACCCGAGACCCAAAAAAGTGAGACCAGCAAGGTTGCTCAATAAAAAATCAGTACACAAAATTTAACAGGGTCGCCATATCCCAGCTGTGTCCAATTATACAGTAAACAGGAAAGAAAGACCCCAATCATAATAGCCACCACCATGGAAAACACCATCGCCTCTCTCCTAGATCATGAAAAATGGTCCTTACTGGCCTCCTCATTTCCACCGTTACTTTCCCCACATTCATTCTCCATTCAACAGCGAGTGATCTTTTGTAAACATAAATTAGAGCGCGTCAAACTCTTTCTTTAACCTTTTAATAGCTACTCATTACTTCTAATTAGATTCCAGTTCTTTATCGTGCTCATGTTCGGCTTGACCTGGCCCCTGGAATTCTCCAGTTCACTCTCTCACCACTCCCCAAACCCCTCCACACAGCCAACACGAACCTGCTTTAGTTCCTGATGCATGTCAAACTCTTTCCTGCCCCAGGGCCTCTATGTGTGCTATTCTCTCTCCCTAGAAAACACTCCCAATCATCACCTGAATGTTCTCCAGCAGCAGCTTAAATGTCACTGCTCAATTTAAATAACGTCTCTTTTCTCTTAGCTCCCTTTTTCTTTTGTATTTGCACCATGATGCGCAATAATATCCCACTGCATATTTTACCAGAATGTGTAATCTTCTTTTCATTCACAAGTTATTTACTCATTACCTCAATTTCCCTCTAGACCGCAACTTCTGTGAGGGCACAGACATCTCTTTAATGTTTCCCCAAGCATTTAACACAGTGCACAGGAGCTGCCACACAGCAAGTACTCACTAAGTATCTACCGAATGAACTGATGGAGGGATGGCAGTGCCTGCTGCACTCTTCCCAGGATTCAGCCTATCAGGAGGAAGAGAGGGAGCCCCCAAGGGTTGCTCTGGATGAGGGGCCCAAAAGCCTCCCGGAGGAGTCCATGAGGACACACGAGCTCGGTTCATGGTCCACAAGCGCCATGGGTTCAGGGAAGGGTACATGATTCAGAGCACATAGCTGCATCCATTCCTGCAGAACTCTCTCAAGAACTCAAGTCACAGATTTATTTGCAAGTTGAGTTCGTCACAAAGTGCCTCTTTTCTATAATCTGTAAAGACCAAAGCTTTAGGCATGATGAGAAAACAAGGGCAACTTTTCGCCACCCTCAGCAGAGACATTTACTGCATCCGCAGCATATGGAACTTGAAGGAGCTAGAGCAGGAATGGAGAAAAATGTTGACTCCCACAAGAATGCCAAGAAGACCCGATGAGACACATGCACAAGACAACCCCTCAGAAGTTCCCCAGAATAGCTGGGGGAGTTTAGGAGAGGTCAGAAGGCCCAACAAAGGCAGCTGGGGACAGAGCTTTAGAGCGACAGCTAGAGTTTGATTCCAATAGTAGTATGGCCTGGACAACCCAGATAACCATGAATCCTCATGGTCAGCCCCAGAAGGTCCCCAGATGACAGAGTTAGGCCACTGGCCTGGTAGCACCACAGTCCAGAGGGCAGATGGGCCACTGTGGCACTGCCACCTTGGCATTAGAGAAAGTGTCTTCCCAAAAGGCACACAAGAGCAGAGAGGAATCTTTGCAGCACTCCCTCCAGAGCCCGCAGTGCTAATTCTTCTCCTGGAAGTTAAGAAAGCAATGTTTATGAGGCCACCTAATGTCAGACGAGTGGCTGCTGGTAATTCTATCTCAGGTGTACCAGAGACTCGGGCATATAATAGGTACCCCCAACTGCTTAAATGCCTGTGCGCGCCAAGTGAGGAGGAGTGTTATATCTGCCAGGGGCCTGTGAGAGGCAATCTTCCTGTTTATTTGTTTCTTTTTGTGCTCACATTCTTGTATACTGCAGGATATAATGAGGGTCTGGCAGAATGCTATTATCCCCTGTAAAGGACAACTGTTGGAGGCTTTTGCAGCACCTCCCTATTACCTTTCCACACCTCTCCTTCCCCCAACCACCATCTATCTTCTGTCAGTGAGCACCACAGATAGGCAGGGAACGATGAAAACTCAGTGTAGATGATGACATCTCTGGCCAACCTCTGTGACTCCTCCCCAATAAAAAAGGTGTGGTCTCACTTCCAGGAAGAGGGCACACACAGGAGATGGCCAGCAAGGACATCAGTGGGCCCTCACTACCCTACTCCCCCTGGGAAGCCTGAGCGGTCCCCATGTGACCTACCTCTTGTCCTCTTCCACCTGTACACCGATGGAGTGGAACTCTCTCCGGCTCCTGTTCTCGGTGTCGGAGTCTGAGATAGTCTCCACCTGGAGGCGGGGTGGAGGGGTCAGTGGCAGGGCCCAGCCAGGGGACACAAGTCTTGCCCAGGGAGAATGGCCAGCAATGGCTGAGCCCCAAGCCACTGGCAAACCTGGCAAAGAAAATCCTCCTGAACAAGATGAGAGAGCAACGTGACCACTGCTGGGCACTGTTCTGCACTCTCCAGTAGCACGGATGACATGAGGGACAAAGGAGTAGGCTGAGGACGGCTGCCTTGTCGATGACCAGCACCCACGATGCGCAGTGCTGGGCAAGCCAAGGAAAAGGTCTGTGTATCCGGAAGTCCCCTTTGATCTCCTCACCCCATTCCACCTGAGCCCGGACCCTCAGCGCTCCTCCTTCCGTACCTGCACACCAGTCCATACCTGCACCCCAATAGATGGCCGCCACTTCCGCTGCCGCGCCAGACTTCTCAGCTCTTCCCTGCCGGGGATGGTCTTAATGATGAGAGTGGGGGGTTTGGGGCTGGCCCGGGGTGGCACCGGCGCCAACTCAAGGGTGCGTGCGCCCATGGCAGGCCCGTCCAGTCCATCGGCAGAGCTGCAGCGCCTGGCTGGGCCCTCAGCCGTGGTGAAGCTCTCGTGCGCAGAGTCGGTGCTGCTCTGGGCGGTGATGGAGATGCGGGGTGGGGCCTGGCTTCCCGGCGGAATCCAGAGGCCTTTCTGAAGTTGAAGGCTGGAGCAGCAAAGGCAGGGGTGCAGCCTATGAAGACGACGCACGCCTGCACGCATCATTCCGACACACCCACCCCCCCAGCACACCCACGCGGTCCCACGAAACACAGCAGCCACGTGTATTCCATGCACTGCTATTTACAGGACCAAGGATTGTCCGAGTCATCCTGTCCAGGGAGGGAAGTTATCTGAGCAAGGTCACACAGCACAAAGATGGCGCGAGCCACAACTGGAACCCAAGGCACTGTCCACCCAAGGGCCAGGCGGGGACAGAAAGAGTACTCACAGGAGCCGGGCCTCCCTGAGACAGAGGCAGGGGCAGCAAGGAGGGGCAGGCAGTCGTCATCTTGAGAGCAGCCGGCCTGGATGGCCCGGAGGTAGCTGTGGCTCCGCATGCGGAAACAGCCAGGCAGGTCCAGGGCGTCCACGGCCTGAGACTCAAGTTCCCCAAACACAGACCCACACACGGCCTCCAACTGCTGGTTCAACTCTTCGCTGAGCTGGGGGAGGGGGCCCGGAGGATGGTTACAGAGGATCTGGGGTGGGGTGGGGACGCTGAGGCGCTCTGCTTGGCAACATACCTAGGTCTGCAGCACCTATACCTGCCTGGCTCCTCTGTAGTCGGCTAAAGGAGATCCTTACTCTCCGCAAAGAAAGATGAGAGAGCCTCTGCCCTGAGCTGCCTCCAAGGTCTGCCTTGGGGCCACCTTGCCACCACTCAGTCTTTCCTCTAAATACTCACCCCACACTACCCCACGCCTATATTTTCCTCTCCTCCTGGTCCCAGTTCCTCAGCCTTCTCTCATTTGACCCTGACAGAGAGGACCAGGGACCTGACATATACCCTACGGCAAGGTATAGGGCTGGGGGTTTCAGGGGAGGACAACTTTTGTTCCTTAGAACCCGACGTGTCACGTGATTGTCTGAAAGCAGCCTATAGAGATACATGCATCAAGTGGCAGGATGGGTAATGAATGGGTACGTGACAGAGCAAAACTATCCTGCAAGTTTTCCAAGCCTTTCCCTTCCTGTGGCCATTAGCTAGTGGGCCTCGCAGGGCCCAATAGTCCCTGTCCTGTCCTCAGTGGCTCTGGAGAAAGTTCAGCTGTCCTGGAGAGAGTTCTTTTGTTTTGTTTTGTTTTTTGATATTTTGTGGTACAGAATCCATGGTGTTAAAAAAAAACAAAAAAGAGAAGAAAAAATAAAAACCCAAAACTTTTGTTCACAGAACAAGCCACACATCACTGCGCTGAGACTAAATATGTCCCAGGCTGCAGCTTCATTTGTGGTATGTGAGAAAAGTGACACAAAGAAAAAATAAATAAAAGCAGGCAAAGGTGGGAGCAAAGGTAAGCTCTAGCCCAGAGCACAGGTGGCCAGGCCCACAATGCCACTCTCGCTGGCTACATGTGTAACCCTGAGCTTCCAGCCAGGCAAAACGTGGAGGAACGTAGCCTAAGCTTACCTGCATGGGCCGTGGAGTGAGACTCTGCCGCATCCCAGGCTGGCTCTGCCACTTCCTACCAGTGTGCCCGGGGAAAGTTAAAGTTTGGGGACCTCAGTGTGATCACCTGGTAAATGGGAACGATAATGCTACCATTTTCACAAGAGTACTGAGGGGCTCAAAAAAACACGTGAGGCACGTGATGCAGTTACTGGCACACAGTAAGCCCTCAGTGGCATGTGAACGTCTCACGGTCTACCTGGTAGACACAGGCCAGATGCTCGTGAGACCTACAATTCCCATCACTAGGCCCTAGAGAAACCCCCCTGTAGACGATGACACAGAGGCCTCCAGATGGCATCACAGATGAGGTTCTCAGCAACATCCAGGGGTGAGTGCAACAGCAGGTATCCCCTAGCTACATCTCATGGCTGCTCCCAGAAATATGTGTGGCCACATATTTATGAATAGCCAACAGAAACTCAAAAGAGTGGTTTGATCCATGTGTAAAGTGCAACTCAGTGTTTCCATAACTCAGCCTCCAAAGCACACGATTTAACTGAATTGTACCTCAAACAGAATCAGAATCATCCCATTCTACCAATGGGCAAACCAAGACCAAGAAGGAGCAGATGACTAGTCCAAGGATGCTCATCTGGTAAGTGGTAAAAATGAAATAAAGTATCACATTTCTGGCTCCCTTGTAAGGCTGACTGAGCATCAGAATCTCCTGAGCAGCTTCTTAAGCCTACATTAACTTGTGCCCCCCTAACTATCCATCTGCTTTTGCTTTGGCTGGTTAGAAGCCCAGAGCAAATCTGCTGACGGCAGAGGAAACTTGGTGGTTCTAATGTAGGCCCAGTAACTTAAAAGAAGTTTCTGTACATTTTCTGCAGTGCCCTCCCCCATAGTCCTGGGGCCTTTGCACTAGGCTATAGCCCCAGCCTATTTTTTCATTTTTAAATTCAAGACAGGGTCTTCCTAAATTGCAAAATTGCCCAGGCTGAACTTGAATTTGTGATCCTTCTGCCTCAGCCTCCCAGAGTGCTTTTTGTTGTTGTTGTGGTGGTGGTGGTGGTGGTGGTACTAATTAAGGAGTAAACTCAAGGAGTACTGAGCTAAATGCCCACCCCTTTTAACATTTTTATTTGATCCAGTCTTGCTAAATTGCCCAGGCTGGCCTTGAATTTGGGATCCTCCTACTTCAGCCTTCCAAATAGCTGGGATTACAGACATGTACCATCTCATTTGGCTTCTGAAACTCTTTCTGAAGGAACTTTAAGTGTACAGAAACCACAAGACCTGGAAAAATCAATCCAAAAAAACCAGAAGTTATGTTCTTTCTTGTCTGACTAGCACAAGCCATATTGTGGAAACTGACCTTCCCATGACTTCTCTAGTCAACCCTTATTCCTCCTATCACTGGACTTCTGGGGCACTAAAGACAACAGTTACCAGAGTATTTTCTGATACTCAGGAGCTGAACTGACTCCTGTTACCTCTTGGTTAGGCTCAAGGCCCTCCCCAACTAGAATCAATCCAGCCCAGAGGGTCCCTCTTGGAGCCCAGGGGACCTCATGTAACCCTAACCAAGAGCATTTTAATCTCAAGTCTAGACATAAGGGATGGAAGAAATCTCACTCTGCAGTTATCTCCACCCCTTTTCTATGTGCAAAGTGCTAGGTGCAATATCTGGTACAAAGCATGTGCTCAATAAACTTCACTATTAGTAGCAAGAGCTTCTTTAATCATAGTGCCAATCCCATGTAGAATGAGAGGTCTCTCTATCCCAAGGATTTTCTTAAAAATCCCATGCATAGGCTGTCCACAGCTAACTCTATCCAAGAAAGAGTGGGGGGGAGGATTTCCCTGAAGCCATACACATTGTAGCTCAACTGGCCAAGAGGAGATTCTGGGGTTCAACAAGGGACTGGACCCAAAGGAAGCAGACACTCGTGTCTTGTGATGTGTGCTACATTATGGTTATCAGTCAGTTACACTATGCTGTGAATACACCTATTATGCCTGTATAGACTTCCACCTTGCTTCCCCAACCCCACTCACAGGAGAGACAAAGTGAAAGAATCAGAGGACTACCATCTAGAATATATAAAGAACTAAAAAAAAAAAAAAATTAGACCACCTAAAAGACCCAATCAAAAAGTGGGCAAGAAAAATGAATAGACACTTTACAGAAGTACAAAGGGCCAACAAATACATGAAAAAATGCTCAACATCACTGGCCATTAGAGAAATGCAAATTAAAACAATACTAAGATTCCACCTTACCCCAGAAAGAATGGCCATAATAAAAAAAAAAATCAAATAACAGATGCTGGAGAGGCTGCAGGAGAAAAGGAACCCTTCTACATTGTTGATGGGAGTGTAAACTAGTACAACCCCTATAGAAATTCCTCAAAAAAACTAAGATTAGAAATTCCATTTGACCCAGCTATTCCCCTGTATCTTCCCAAAAGAGGTAAAGATATCATTTCACAGTGATACATGCATACCCATGTTTATAGCACCATAATTCATAGTAGTTAAATCTTGGAAACAACTAACATGCCCAGCAATAGATGAATGGAGTACCACTCTGCCAGAAAGACAAACTTGAGACATTCATAAGATAATGGAATCACCTTGAGACCATAATGTTAAGTGAAATAAATGAGATACACAAGCTTAAAAATAAATAAAGAGCAAAATATAGATAATAAGACATGGAGAGAGGGATGTTTCTCAAATAGGAGTGGGATCAAGAGATGGAGGGAGGGGAGGGAAAGGGGATGAAAAAAGGAATTAAGCTGTATTATGTACACGTACCTACTCCCCACAAGGAAAGCAAACATTATGTACTGCAAACATGTACTAATATTTCTTCAAAAGTCAAAGAATCCCCTTGGGAAATGAGCTTCTTATCCTTTCTCCAAGCCAGATTCAGAATCAGTAGCCATTTCCAAGCATGTGGGACATTGAGAAGAAAATATTTTGCTTGTATCCAATTAGAAATTGTCTGCTAGAGTTGATGGGTCCACCTGGGGGACCATCCAACATCCTGTACACTTTACATATGTTATTTAGTTTAGATAACCTTTGGAAAATCCTCCTATTTCAAACCATTCCAAAACACTGGATAAAACATAACCAACATCATTTTATATGCATAGCTGAGCTCACAAGAAAGCAAGCTAAGTCCCCAGGGGACAAAAGCAAAGAGGAGCCTGGAAAATCAGAATATGAACTGTGTGAGCCATTGCTTCAAACAGCCCAGTGGAGGCGGAGGTGGGGTTAGGGGTTGCTGGACTCAGTAACCAAAGGCTTAGGTTTTAACACCCACTGGGGCACAGGAGTAAGGCTTTGGGCCCACACAAATTCCAAATGAGAAGCAGGAAATGAGAACCTTCATAAAGCTAGGAAAAGAAAAATCTTTGATGAAAACAAAGAGAGAAAAAAACAATTATCACCAGAGGCTGATGACACAGGAGCCAGTTTGTAGATCAGGATGGGGAGGAGGCAAATGTCCTAAGAATCTGGACCCACAAACCAGTCCTCCCACAGACCAGGACTATGTATCTGCACGGGCTTGCACGACCCAGATTAAAAATTAACATAAAGTGTTCCTAGTCCGGGAATATGCGAGCAGAGAGCAGCTGCAAAATGTGTCCCTAAGGACCATGCTAACTCGAGCTGCTCAGGCCCCTTGGATGTGAAGCTCCACTGAAGATGAGTTAACAGTGTCTATGTGGCAGACATCTTTTACTTCACCCCTCATGTGTCTACCTCTTGGAATGCGCATCTTCCTCTGAATCATGGGCTGGACTTACTGGCCCATTTCTAGAGAGTAGAATATAACAGATATAGTGGAACATCACTTCTGAGACCACACGGCAAGAGCCTGACCTCATCCAAGACCTGCCAACCACCAAGTGAGTGCACAAGGCAGCTTCTGCAAGGTAGGCCTTGAGATGAAACAACAATGACCATCACCCTGATTAGGCATCACCTAGCTAAGTGGTACTAAGTTTCCTGCCCCACAGAAACTAGGAGATAATA